TATGAATTTCAAGCTGGCTCTCACACAGTGCGATACGAGAAATTCTTTCGCGTCCGGAGTATCGAGGAGATTCGCAAATAGAATATTCTGAACTCACTCGCAACAAGATAGCGCGCACTCCTGAACGGGATGCTTCGTCTTATTCTTGGACAGAATTCTTTTTATACTGTATTTTTCACGATATTAGAAACTATTTTTTAAATTCTTATAATTCATCTCGCGAATTTTCGGATTTATGTCAGCTTCAAATTGATTTTTATACTATTATTTTACATATTTTTTTAATGTTAAAGTTAATTTCTAAATATAAGCTTCGTGAATTTGGACCATTAGACTAAAACATTCACAAACGTTCAAAGATGGTTTGCAGATGATAGTTACACAACTGGTTTTCGGTATTACGAGCGTTCCGCACGTTGATTTAAGAGGTCGGCTAACAGGCATTTCTCCAAGCAACATAGTTGAGCGATCCAATGCTCTATTTATGAGCGTGTAATATAGTCTTGATCTGTTGGATTATTTAATTTATATCGCTAGCTACGCTAAGGATTAACGAAAAATTATTATGACACGTCTTGAAATCATACAAGCAAAATATGTTCATTATCTGGCTGTATTATTTTCTAAAAATAAAATATCAGATCTGTGATGTACGTTAATATTTAATATTTTGAAAGAACTTTTGAGAAGAGAAAATTCTGTGTATGTATATATATAAGGTGTTATAAAATTTGAAATATATATTAATTATAGAGTTTAAAATATTTTAATAAATTATCAATTAATTAATATGAAATATTTAGAGGACATCATAAAAATGGACAATTCCAAAAACACACAATTTAAATCAACAATGAAAACTATGAGAAAGTTATTGTTAAAAATATCATAATTCTTCAGAAATTAAATTAATAAGATCTTAAGAAATTCATTAATCTTAAAAAATTAAATTAATTAATATCTTAAATCATTAAAACTACTTATTGAAAATATTTAACTTTCATAAATTAATGTATATTTTTTAATCAAATGTCATTCCGACGTCAACTATCAAAAATTGAAAATTTAAATTTTTCAATAAGATAACATACTTAAAATATTGAAGTTATTGCATAGTACTCTGTTATGTTTCGTATTGGTATACGAGCTTACTACTCTATATAGCGAATCTGGTGCCTCCAGATTGCATCATCGTTGTGGTATATGGGTCGTTAGTCGATGCGCATAATCTTCGATCGCAATCGTGGCTAGTGGGCCGATTATACCTGGCTTGGCATATCGATCCCACTAGTCGATACGGATATCGAATTCGAATCTTGGGGTGATCCTTCCCGACACAGACGGCTGCAAGATAGAACCGGAGGCACAATTGCGAGCAACCCAGTTTCGGGAATGAATGGCAAATGAGCACAGGAATTCTCAGAGAACACGGTGCTCTGCGGGAAGTCTTAACCCGTGCACTACTAAAAACGATCGTAATTGCTCAACGGATTACATCAAATGTAAGGAATTATGAAAATGACTATCTACGCAATTAGACTGTCTATGAATGTGATTATCTGTGGAAAGGTTCGTATAATTCACAATCTTTATAATAATAAAAATATATGGAATATATCTTTATTATTATATTATTATTATGAATTAGGGAAAAAGAATATACATATAAATGTTTAATAGAATTAGATGGAATTAGATATATTAATGTACATAGATCTAGATAGAACAGAACAATTGCTCATGAAATTGAAAATTTATAGTATTAAGAATTTATAAATGTAAATGTCAGAAAGATCGAAAACTAAACATTTTGTGATTTGAGCTTGATACAGATATTTTATGGAAATCTAAAAGTCTATACTATGGATACAAAATCTAGAGAATTCGAAAATATATGATAAAATATTTATAATGCGATACAAATACTTGAACTAACATCATTTTATATGTATTGACTTATTAGATAAAAATTATAATAAAAAATTTAAAGAAGAGTGTGAAAGCTTTCACAATAAACATTTGTACAATTGAGAGATTTACAAAATAAAGAGTATCAAGAATTGTAAATGGATTATAAATAAAGTGTATAAAGAACAAAGAGAGAAATAATATTTTATTACAATGAAACTTCCTTTTAGACTAATTTACTAATTCATATGTATGTTATGTTTAAACAATCAAATGTTAACATTTTTACAATTATTTCTAGTAAATATATCTTTTTATCGATTATTTTTATTCACAGTATCTTTCGTCATTCTAAAACGATATGATTATATGGTTGCTCGTCTTTAATAGATTAGCAACGGCGTGTTGATCGAGTATACTCTACTTGTTCCGTTTCTCGCAATGCCGTGAGTCATTCATTACGACTGGCGGCACATCGAGGATCTCTTGAATGTTTCCTTCGAGCTTTCTCATCGTCGTTTCTCATCGACGTTAGAACTTAGTGACGGTGTTAAATTTAACGAGTCCAATAATTAAATTAAAAATAAGGACTTCGAAAGTGGCTGAGATCATAATTCTTTGTTCATCGCTCTCGTTGAAGTATAAATTCCTCGATCGATATAATTCAAACGTCGTAAAAATTGATGGCTTATTTTTCTGGCATGTAATAACCATCATAATAAATGGGAATGTTAGACTAGCTGCCATTTTCCTCTCTCGAAAGGGAGGTTCACAATATACCTATAAATGATATCTCTTTCTGTTTCCCTTTCATGATTCTTTTCTCTCTTTCTTTTCTTTTACATGCAGTTATTTTGTTATGACGCAATAATGCATCATCTTGGTTGGAAGAGCTTAACTTTATGATATAGCTATTGCATTTTTATTTGCCAAGAATAATCACCTCACTAATTTTTTATGAGTCTTTATAAGACAAGTAGTTGCAGCTGTTAAACGATATACATATATCCAGAAATTCATGTAATAAAGAATGTTACATTAAAAAATTTTAATCTTTTAAGAAATATATTTATAGTAAAGCAATACATAGTAATTAAATATTATCGATAATTACTCTATGGATATTTACAGAACAAAGCATCGTAAACGATATAGAGATCTATTGACTATTGTACTCAGCTATTATATTCGCGTATCGCAATTAAAAATAAAAAGATTAATTGACCGCACTTTTTATTCGAAAATTTTTTGACACTATTGAAATAATATGAGTATTTTAAACGTAGACAGAAAAATATATGAGAGCCTACACACGTGTTCTATCACGATAACATTCATTTACTTGAAAATCGTTTAGTCGTATGTATTCTATTTCAATCGCCAAAACATTCACTTGTAATGAATTTTATCCCGCAACAAATTCCGCACAATTAAATTTGACGCAAATCGATTTTAATACAACGAACAATAAATAATCATACGTATATCGCACTACTACGCACTGATGCTTCTCAATTCTTATCTGTTTATGAAGATCTAGTGTATTTGTCGCGAGCACATAGCCAGTCATCAATTCATTGCGCAGAAAATCTCATTGCACACGTTCGAACGAATATGCCGAAATGATTTCCATATTCACACAAGCGATTGGTCATGAATCTACTTTTCCAAACACGATTTCCATGCATTTCACTCATAAATATCGTTTACCCCAAAAAATCGCCTGTTTCGATGACCTCTCAATATATCGTTGTAACGGACACCGCTATCGTAATATCTGCCATTACAGGAAAGTACATTATATTAGAATTTTTATAATTTTTTTAAAATCATTAAATGTTCTCTATTTTTTAAATTCTTATATCAAATTCTTTGACAATTAAACGTTAATTTATATTAACATTTATTAAACATTGATTTCATTTAAAAAATAGATAAATATTTAATCGCTAATGCAGCATTAAAAAATATGAAAAAAATTTTATTAAATAAGTTCCTCTAACTCTTTAAATTACCGCCAAATTATTTAAATTTAATGCTCAATGTTTAATTTCTAATTATATTCTTTTTAATTATAATAATAGGGTATCTATCTTTAATATTAAATAATTCTTTAATTAAATCTTTACATATTTCATCATATAAAGAAATGTTTTATTAAAATAATTCTATTTAATTTTTTTAACTTTTTTAATATCAATTATTAATTAATTAAATTTACTTATAACACCTAGTTTAACCGCTATTGCAGGCACTATAATTTATTATTATTTTTATATAAATTACTAAATTTAACTTATTAAATTTAATTATTATAAATATTAATTATTAAAATTATAAATTATATTTAAATTTTTATTTTAAAAATATTAATGAAATGTATTTTATGATAATTTCGTATAAAATGAATCAAAGATGCTTTTTTTTTAATTAAAGAATAATATTTTGTAATTACTTTATTTGAACATTTAATATAATAAATAAAATAACAGACCCAATGGTTTTCTTATCTCTTATTTGTGTTTAAATAATTTAGAATATAAAATGTATGTTAAATCTTGTATTTAAAATAGTAGTGCAAAAAATTAACAGAAAAGTAACGACTCAATATTTTTTAAGTATTAACTGTAGTAACGTAATACTTTTCAGAATAATGTATAACGATAATTAATTATTTTTACAAAGTAATTTTCTCAATCCTGCCGGAAACAGCGCGTTGCATCGACACACATATGTATTTGTGATGATATGACGTTTTATAAAATATTCCAACGATTTCCGGTGTTATATCGCATTCGATTTTCAGTCTCGTGTACGAAATAGGAAAGAATCCTTAGAATAAGACCAGGCGAATTGCATTCACACTCATCTCTATGTAACTACAACGAGAGCAAACCGCAAACCGCGGAAAATGGCTTCTCATCGTTGCATTTTTCAAAAAGCGCGCGAAACGAACTTTGCACTCGAACCCGCACTCTAACGCCGACGATATCGGCAGTCTTATCAATAATAAATGTCATTTTATTACGTATGTCCAGACACTTTCAAGATGCGGGAGTGCAAAACTATATCGTTGTCTCTTTTATTTTCAGATGCGCCATCCGATCCAAATGAAGCCAGCCGACAGCGAGAATCGGAATGGTGAGTTAAAAGTTTAATTATTTTTTTGAAACGCGCTAAGATTGCTAATTAAATTTTTAATATTGCGACATACTCAGACCGCATTGTAAGTAATGACATTGAATTAATTTTCAAGGAAACCAAAGTATTGTTCATGAGAAAAAAAATTTGCACTTTTATTGTCATATCTCAACAAAGATTGAGATAGTAACAATCTGTTTGTATCGATCGATTTATGTAAAGCAAAATGCGTGATAATACACTACAGCAACAGAAAGCATATAATTTTAATAGGAAATCAAAAGATGTGGTAGCATCTTGCGTCAAATATATTTTTCACAAATCTTACATATTTTTCCAATCCGTTTCATTAGAAACAAACTCCGAACTTTTTTCGTGTGTATTGAATTTTAGGAAGAGATAAATTTTTAATATCAAATATAATTTTCGAATATCTTGTTTGATCATTCGATCGCTTCGAAGTTCTGGCACGATTAAGGATGGAATTTCGAGCAACGTGGCATGACGGTATAACCGAAAGAGAAGATAACAATAACGGTCGCGAAGATAAAGTTAACTCTCTTCGTTCGGCGGAGAATGCAGCTCAAAGCACGTTCATTAGATACTAATTAATTGGCTGAATTGAGGGGCTTGTCGAGATTGCATAGTCAAAGAAGACATAAGCGAGCTATGAAGTGGTAGTATGATAAGGTAGGCCAAGAGAATTGTGAGAATGAGCAAAGGCGAACAAATTTTGCCGACAACATATAATTACTAAGAATCGATTTGCAAGCGAATTCTTATGTGGCATGTTCTTTCTCTACTTGATTTTTTAAATCTTCGATTTTTTTCATTGACAAATTTATTTGGATAGTATGTTCATAAATGTCGTGATAAATCACAGATATTGTAAAAATACCAGATATTAAAAAATTTTAAATATTACGATCCCTCACCTAGGGAAATAGAAAGTACAATAAAAAAAAAATTGAACGGTTCGAGAGAATAGGCGCTGTTCAGAATAATACCAGATATTACTCTAAGTATTATTCTAAATACGTAGATAATATTTAAATATTCCATTCAGAAAAATCAGTATTTTATACAAGAATGATATAAGAGTACTAGAATACTAGATACAGTTAGATACAAGAATAAAACTATTTGAAAATTAATTAACACTAATTCTTCTCTGTCACTCCATAAAATCCGCGTATTTTATAAATTCAAAATATAAATTCTATTTGCTATATACATTTTAGATATAAATATATATGTACTATGAATTAATGAAAAGTTAAACAAAACTTAATTTAATACTTTTAACAACTTCAATTTAATGTTTTTAACAACTTATCAAAAGTGAAAAATGTGATTGAAAAAGTAGGAGAAAGATAATCATCCCTCGTGAATATTAGATATTCATGTAATTTTACTTTGAGTTTTCTTCCATCGATCGAAAAAGGGTCATGTAAAAATTCGAGAACGTCGAAAAGCGCAGCGGATAGTACTCCGAAAACCAACAGGAGAGCCAACGAACGTGGCAAAACGCGCGATTTTTTTATGGATAACTGCGCCGCGTTAGCAATAAAAATTCGACTACCGGCTGGACGGGGGTGTAACGTAAAGCGTACATAAAACCGGCCACGTCGGTGGGACGACGCAAAACGAATGCTAATGAAATATTAACGACACCCGTCACGTGCTGCGCTGGGCTGGACCGCTCGGTTCCTCTCTTTTCTCTCCCTTTTTCTCTGTTTCTTGTCTTTCTCTCTCTCGCGTGATCGTTCACTCTCTCATTCCATGCTTTACCCTTTACGCTCCTTTTCCCCCTTTTTACTCATCTCGTTTATCTTCCTTTTTTTTTTATTTTGTGCCGCATAAGAACTCCTCCCCCCCTCGAAGGATGTTCATGCGCGGTCGTTTTTTACATCGAAGCGCAACACCGTTTCAGGCGCAGCCTGTGTGCAAATGACATGCCAAATTGTAATCACGCCAAGATTCAAGCGGCTTTACACCTTGCGTTTAGCGTTAACCGAAACCTGATTCTGACACTTTGTTTGTTACGGTCGAGCTTGCGCAGTTGCATGAACAAGATCCTGGATCAAGTAACCACGTTACATGGACCGACGCTCGATCTTGTTTACTAGCAGTTACGCGTTAAACAGAAGTTACTTCATTGGTTAACCATTCAATTGCCACGGCTTCGCAGTTGAACTTGCTTTAATTTTTCAATCAAATTAGCAAAGATAATTCTGAATGATGAAAGCGTGATCATAGGAAAGAAATCCAATTGATCATACAATTAAAAATAAAATCTATATTTTACGAACAATTTCTAAAATTCCTTAATACAATTAAATATGTTTCTTCATAATAACGTATAAGAGAAGTATTAAAATACATAATAGTAAATGGAGCATTATTAGAATACAATAAAGTGCAATAACAACAAATAAAATAATAACACGAATGAAAAAAGAATAAATTGTAACAAAAAACAATCTTATCTCATAATGGTGTAAATGTAGATTTTTTTTCTTTTTTCTTCCCAATGTAATTCTTATTGAAATGATATATTTTCTAACAAAATTAAAATTTATAACAATATCATTCATAGAAAAGTAGAGAAAAGAGATTTGTAAATTCGAAATAATAAAAATGAAACTTGAGGACTGTAGGAAATATATATATTAATAATTTATAACTTTTATCATTGTTACGATTAGATCATATAATATAAATTTATTACATTTAATTTAAAAAAAAAAAAGCTTTCTATTCTACATTCATATTTTCATTGAAAATCTGTAAATTACGAAATATAAAAAGAATAATATATTATTGTCTCTATTATATTGGGAAAAAAATTAAATATAACGAATGCAGAGATTAAAATTTATTAAAAGGTGTAATGATAAAAAAATGTATAGTATAATACTTGGATGTGACGCTTAAAAATACAATGTAGAAGACAGAATTAAAAAATTCATTGCAACATATCACAAGAATAGCCAACGGAATTAACGTTCATGCGTTTTAAATTAAATTTAAAATGTTCATACAAATCTATGAGAATGATCGTAAAAAAGATATAAAATAATTCTATAAAATATAATGGATATTAGATCATATAAGATCTGGTTATCTTAGTTATTATTGATCTGAATAATGATAATTATCTGATTTATCTGAATTATTGTTGAATTACTGATAAGCAGCAAAATTTCGTTTTATGACATCAGTAAAACGAACGGAACTGGGGTACAAGTACATAACATCCGTTATATATAAAAATGAATAGACACGACGTGGTGTAACCGAAACTGAGATCAGGCTATTCGTAACCACGCGCACGTGCAATACGGAAAAGGATTTTTCTATATAGGATGCAGAACGTGCGCGATGGCGGCCGACATGAATAGTGCCGTAGCTACATGTAAATCCCAGTAAAACGGGAAAATAGTAAACAAGAAGAGAACGTTTCCTGGTATCAGAGTATTATAGTTGTCTTGTCGTTAGGTGACTCTCATGAACACCGCAACTGACATAAACCGAATTCAGATAAAGCAACTCGCAAGTTTGCGTACAAAACGCAAAATTAATCTGAAATTGAAAATTTACTTTCTCGAAAACGTGGCACATTGATATTATATAACTAAATTGTTTTATTGTGAATTATTTGAAACATTGTTCATGAATTTCCGATATTTATCGGCATGAATTTATGAACTTCCAGTGGAAGAGTGATATTAAATAGCAACTATAGTAGTTGTAGAATATTATTTATCACGTTCGTGCCGCATGAGTTACCAATGACCCATGCTGGACTTTTAGGCCGTTTGATATTTTGGCTAATAATAAAAAGAAATATATTTATAAAATAATTTTAAAAAATTTTAAATAAATTTTAAAATATGAGAAAAGAAATCAACTGTTTTTAACATATGTTGAGACTTGAGACATTAAATTTGAGTCTGCCATCAAAAAAATTCCATCAAGTCAAATTTTAAGATACAGTCACAAATTTTGAGGTATAGCATTTTTTCCAAATAATTTGGGTCAACAAGTGATGAACGAAACGAACGTTTCCACTAGGATGGAATTTTTTTCTGTTCGATCAATGCAACTTCTCAAAAATAATTCTATAAGATTTTCAAGATAATGTAAGTGAAACTCGATTCTACTTACCAATTCATATTATTTAATGCTAACATCGTAAAAAACTGCTAATTTCACAATTGAGAAAACTACTGAACGGAGGACGAACATAATGTCTTGTCCTATAATTATTCTTGTCAATGACGAAGCGATGGGTGGACCATTTTAGTGGTATTTCCGATGCACACCAATCAACGGACCTCTGTCACAACGTCAAGTGCGACAGCTCAACGAAAAGAAGAACGAAGAGAGTGAAAGCTTTATTTATATCCGTGACATTCTGTTTATTTTGGCTAACAGACTAGGCTTGCTCCGGGCTCTAGCTAGTAACGGTTCTAGCTGATTCCTTCCTTACGAGTCCCATTTCATGCCGACATTGTTTCAGTCATTGGTTACATAATGTCTTAATAAACATGAGCCTCGAAAATAAATTGGATGTCGATTTCTTCATGGAAAACAATTAATAACCGGACGCTAATAATCGCACATTAACACTATACACACACGCATCTGTCTGCAATTCAATCTTTAAACTTTTCAGCCTATTCCTCTAGCTTGAACCTGATACCATGGATACAACGTGTTCTATCTTCATTCTGCTATCAATCGATATGTACACAAAAATAAACTTTACGAGTTATTGATTTGAATTTTTGAAACAATATCAAAATAATTATGATGATTTTGATACGTTCATAAAAAAAATTTGTTTGAATATAATTTATTTTTAAAGTCTATAACATTTTGTTCTTATATGTTTTGTTTCGAATTTAAAGATTTTTAAGAAAGAAGAAACAGTTTAATTAAACAAATTTAAATTTTCTTATTAAGACGTTATTATGACAATTAATCAGCTAATT